CACCTTCACCACCATCTCACCATCCCCACCACCACCTCACCATCACCACCACCACCATCACAATCACCTTCACCACCATCTCACCATCCCCACCAGCACCATCACCTCCACCTCCACCAGCATCTCACCATCACTACCACCTCCACCATCTCACCATCACTACTACCACCACCACCACCTCCACCACCACCATCACCATCACTGCCACCATCCACTGCCACCACCATCACCATCTCACCACCATCATCATCATCACCACCACCACCACCACCACCATCACAACCACTTTCACCACCATCTCACCATCCCCACCACCACCTCACCATCCCCACCACCACCATCACCTCCACCTCCCCCACCATCTCACCATCACCACCAGCACCACCATCTCACCATCACTACCACCTCCACCTCCACCATCTCCACCACCACCAGTACCATCACTGCCACCACCATCACTGCCACCATCCACTGCCACCACCATCACCATCTCACCACCATCATCATCATCATCACCACCACCAGTACCATCACTGCCACCACCACCTCCACCTCCGTCACCATCAAGCGAGGCAACTGAGGTGGTGGCTGCCTCCTCCTCCTCGCCTTCACAGCAGGCTGCTTTGCAGACCTCCCCCCCCATCTGGCCACTGTGCCTTCACAAGCTGTGCTGGTGCTGTGACATATGGTCCCCAGGGACCCTGAGAGGACCAGGAGCCCCGGCCAGGCAGGCATACCTCGCCATCTGAGGCCAGGGTGGCAGGGGCCAGGGAAGGCGGTGCTGAGACCAGGGCCTGGCCCTGGCCCTGGGAGGGTGTGCGTGGGAGCAGCCACCCCTCTAGGAAAGGCAGTGCTTAGACATGCTGACCGTAATCACCTGTAATCTCTTGCTCAAAATAACCCAAAGTCAAGTGAAGGAGGATTACGGGCCCCAGGCAGACTTGTCGCAGGTGCTGGCAGGGCGGGCAGGGCCTTCAGGCCACCCTGTGCCTCCTGCTGCCTTTGCGGGCCTCTGGGCTCCTGCTGGGCAGAGCGAGGGTGCCTGGGGCTGAAGGGCCATGTATATGTTCACACACACGCAGTGCCATGTCCATGCGTGCTCGTCCATGGCACAGGGGTCAGGCTGTGTGTGTAACAGAGCTCAGAGAGCCTGACTGGGGTGTGGGCAAGGTCTGGGAGGGGCCTCGCAGGCACTCGGGGCAGAGGTGGTGGTGGCGAGCAGCAGGTCTGTGACAGCCCCGCGGCATCGTAGTTAACCATATGGTCAGTCCACACACACTTGTTGGGACTGACTCAGTGACACGGAGCTCCCAGGCAGTGTGAACAGCGACTGCTCACCCGAAGGCTGGGGGTTCAAGGCCACCCAGAGGGGCCTGGGAAGAAAGGCTGGCTGTCTTCTGAAAACTGGCCACGGCACACCCTCAGGAGCAGTTTCACTGTGACACACGGGGTCACCAAGAGTCAAGGTCACTCAGTGGCAACTGGCTTCAACTTGGTGACATCAGTGCTGCCTGAGGGGGGTGCCTGAGAGTGTGCACACGTGGGGTGTGTCCGTGGTGCGTCTGTGCACGTGGTGTGACTGTGTGTCTCTGTGTGAGCGTGTCTGTGAGTTACTGTCTCCATCATGCCGTCGCTGTGTGTGGCCGGTGCCCTACGTGTGCGCCGGGTGCCAGCACCCCCGTGGTCCGGGCAGGCACCGCATGAGGCACCCCTTTCCTGTTCTGCCTTCCCTCCCCTACCACGTGTGACAGTCTAGGAATTGGTGTTTCAGACTTGGCACCTCGGAGCGGTTCTGGGGGCATGGCTTCCCCAGGCCCTGGAAGTGGAGGCAGTGGGAGGTAGGAGCCTCCGCCCTCGGGAGGGAGGCCAGGGCCCATCCACCCCTGGGGCTCCCTCATGGCTACCCAGTTCCCATTCCAGCTCCCACCTGCTCCTGGGGCCGGGGAGGAGCAGGACCCAGGCCTGAGGGAGGCAGGAGGGGTCTCCCGTGTGGCCCGCCTCACCTTGCCCTGCCCCTCCAGGTGGGCCTAGCCTGGAAGACTTTGCAGGTGAGGGGCAGCTGCTAGGGCTCTGGGCAGGAACCAGGCTGCTGTGGGCACAGGCTGGAAAGGTCTGGAATGGCCCAAGATCCAGACTCAGCCACTCCCTCACTCATTGCCCCGTCACTCACTCGTTCATTCACTCACTGATCTACTCATCCACTCACTCCTCCATTCATCCACCCATCAGTCACTCATTCATTCTCCCACCCACTCACTCACCCTCTCCCTCCTCTGCTCACTACTGCCCCATCCACTCCCTCGTTGTTCGCATCTTTACACACACTTGTCCCTTCACACTTGCCCACTCAACATCTCTTCCCAGAGTGCCTGCAGCCTGCTGTGTGCCGAGTGGGAGAAGACACAGGGCTGGGTGCACAGCCTGCACGGGGCATGGCATCCCACCAGCCCCACCCTGCTCCTACCCTCTCCCCTGCCACCCTCAGGCTCAGACCGTGGCCTAGGCGGAGGTCACAGGTCTTGGGGGGAGTGGCACTCCTCAGTGAAGTCCGTTCCCCAGAAAGGCCTCCACTGTCCCCTCAAGGCCCTGTGCTGGCTTCCCACAGTGGCCTGGCCCTGTGCTCCGAGACACACACCCCATCCCACACACATTCATGTTACACAATCATACACACACT